GTCTCTTGGAAAACCAAAGAGAGTCACAGCAAGCCCACAAAGTTACACAGGAATCAGGAAGAATAAAAATGTAAAGGTAACATGGATGAACTGTCTATTAGGTGCTTTCGTACATACTATCAGGTTTAAGGTTTACCAATAGCATTAGGTATGGTGAAGATGATTGATATGGTTTGGCTGTGTCCCCACCCAAATCTCATCTTGAATTGTAGCTCCCATAATTCCCATGTGTTGTGGGAAGGACTCAGTGGGAAATAATTGAATCAAGGAGGCGGTTTCCCCCCTATTGCTCTCATGGTAGTGAACAAGTCTCACGAGATCTGATGGTTTTATAAGGGGTTTCCCTTTTCCCTTGGCTCTCATTCTCTCTTTGCCTGTGGCCATGTAAGACATCCTTTGCTCTTCCTTCGTCTTCTGCCGTGATTATGAGGCCTCCCCAGCCATGTGGAACTGTGAGTCCATTAAACTTCTTTCCTTTATAAATTACCCAGTCTTGGGTATGTGTTTATTAGCAGTGTGAGAATGGACTAATTACAATGATTGTGACAATGACTATGGCCATTGTACAGATAAGGAAGCCAGCTCAGAGTGGCAAGTCACCTGGGCCTGAACATCTTGCTAATAAGCAGCATAGCATGTTCCTTGATTACTCTGTTATATGTGGCTCTAAAAGGTTTTTTCTGTGTGCGTTCATATGGATGTTAGCAAAACCAATGTAAGTGTAGTTAATGGAATTATTATTTCTCATGCCTACTATGATTTCTTGTCTGATTGGAAAATAATACTCCAGGATCAGGTTTATTATACTTCCATCTATGACATGTGCCCCAAATGACAGTGACCTTATGGCAGAGATTGGCTCAGGAGAAGTATTTTCTCATCTTCTGGAATGTCCTACTAATGAAATAACTTAAAGGACAAGGACATATGAAGGTGATTCTATAATATTAACTCTAACCATTATTAAATTCTTAATGCATGCCACATATGCTTCTATTTGCTTACCTGCATTAATTTTTTCACTCTGCATAATACTCTTATGAGGAAGGCACCATTTTTTTTTTTTTCATTTAAAGATGAAAAGGTTAAGGCACAAGAAGATTCATAACTTGCCAAGGTCCCAAAGTTAGTGTGGGTTCCAATTCAGGTCCTCTGGCTCCACAGCCACTCTCCAGTGCTGCTTCGGAGCCTGATACGTTAGTAACTGGTGGCTCCCTAAGAACCTTGACTTTGGCTTTAGTTGATTTAGAAAATATTTTTATGTGTGTGTATTTACTTTGAAGCCTCTCATATTTTCTCATTAATTACAAGTAGTCCACAATTTTCAGGACTGTAGTTGTAAAATATAACTCAAGGCATAATGAGAAAGTAGATTTTAGTCATTTGGAATGGTTAGGAACAGCTCTCTGTGTACCTTTCCAGGAATTTAATGTTTTAACTGAGCATAGTGACCCGAAATGTTTGGAGAAAGTGAGAGATTTTGTGTCTATATACATAGGTGTCCCTGTGTCATCTTTTTCTTTAGCTTGAAGCACTCAGGATGGAAAAACAAATCTTGGGAAAGATGAAAGAGTAGAACTCAAGGAAATACCACAGAAGTTACAAAGGACTAGAGGTTTATGACTGTAATTTATAATGTCCACTGTCCTTGTGAAAATTATGTGGGATGGTTTATCTTTTTCTATTTGGGAAGATACATTTTTTATATTTAAAAATATCTTGTCTTTAGAGTTCTTTTAAGTGTAGTGATTGGAGGGCTGAGATATACAAACTAGATTATTTTCATTCTGGTCTTTTTCTTTTAGTATTTGGGGTAATTTAAATGCTTCTTCATTCACTCACATACTTATTCAACAGATATTTATTGAACGCCTACTATATACCAGACACTCTGCTACACCCTGAGGATAAAAGGTAGATAAGATGCTGAATCTGTCCTCCAAGCATTTGGATTCTGGTGGCAGAAACTGTTGTGTACCCAGTTAGCCCCTGCAGTGTGAGAAGTGCTACACTAGCAGAATGAAAAGTTCTGTAAGGTCACAGAGGAGGGAGGGAATAATTCCTCCTGTGGTTATGAACAGAAATTTGAGCTAAGTCTTTTAAAGGATGAATAATAAGGTTGGGTAGGCCAAGCGGGCAGGGAGGGCCCAAGAGAAAAGGTGCTCAAATGCCTAGAGTATGAAAAGGAATGAAAACTGTCATTAACTCACAGCTAGGAACACTGATCCCTGTAACCAGCTTGGCTTACCTGAGAAGGAAATGCTACCACCTCTGAGGGTTCCCCTCACCAGTCTTCATTTATTATTGTGTAAAATTAGAGGATGACAGCAGTGGTGGTGGTGGTGGTGGCGGCGGCTGCTGCTGCTGCTGCTGCTGCTTTGTCTTCTTCCTTTTTCTGGTTAGCTTGATAGATTTGGGTTAGATATAGGCATTTTCCATATCAGGTTTTAGTTCTTTATTTTTTCAACTTTTACTTGATTTTTATTATTTTTTCTTTCTTTTTTTTTTTTTAGACAGAGTCTTGCTATGTTGCCCAGGCTGGAGTGCAGTGGTGCGATCTCAGCTCACTGCAACCTCTGCCTCCCGGGTTCAAGCAATTCTCCTGCCTCAGTCTCCGAAGTAGCTGGGATTACAAGCATGCACTACCACGCCCAGCTAATTTTTACATTTTTAGTAGAGATAGGGGTTTCACCATGTCAGCTAGGCTGATCTCCAACTCCGGACCTCAGATAATCCACCTGCCTCGGCCTCCCAAAGTGCTGGGAGCATGAACCACTGTGCCTGGCCTCAAAAACTTTTATTTTAAATATGGAGGTACATGTGCAGATTTGTTGCATGGGAATATTGTGTGATGCTGAGGTTTGGAGTACAGATCCCATCACCTAGGTAGTGAGCATAGTAGCCAATAGGTAGTCTAACGTGCCCCATCCGTATCCAGGCTTTAACCATACTGAGACAGTGGGAAAAAAACTGAGCTGCTTACTGTCACCCAATGGAATGGAAAGTTTTCTGCCATTTTGCTTCTATGTCATTTTCATATTACTTTTTTGGGGAAATTCGATTTTTCTGCCATTCTACTAGACTATATCTCTTTGATCACTACCTATGTGCCCAAATCACTGCTTCTCCCAACTTTTTTTGTGGGCCATCATCCATGAGCATGGTACATCCATGTGGTGACTTCCTCTGTTTGTTTAAATTTGCACATTTAGAGTTTTGTGTTAGGACAGTAAAACACTCATGTCTAAATAACTTATAAGTCCTGGGAAACTCATAAAAATGACCTGACATGATGTTTTGTGCCTATAAGAAACCTTGCAGATGGCTAAGAGAAGAATGAAGATGTTTTGACTTACTGTCTCTTCAATTATGTTATAAAAAATTCAGCGGACTTGTCCATGATCATTAGGAAAATGAATGATTTTCCTATTGTAAATTACAAGTGCCACAAACTACATAAGGACTGTAATTGACAGGTATCAACTGGTAGCATTTATTTACATTCTCCAAGGCAACCCACAGAACTGTAGTGCTCACCATATTTGTTCAGAAAAATATGTTTTTAAGTAAATAAAACTTCCTTAACACTGGTTACTATAGTTAAGCAACTTAATTCCAATTGTTAACTTTGTTTAGTAAATGATGGATGAAACATGATTTTGTAAGATAAAAGAACATGGTGCCAAAACATTATATGAGCATGATGCCAAAAATACACACACACACACATACACACACCTGAATACATTGTTCATAGTGTTTTCTAATTCAGGGAAACTGGAAGATGATTTGAAAGTATTATGATCAACTTTGTATTTATTCCAGGAAAATTTACATGAGGAGAAAATACATTAATCTTGGAATGTAATAAAAACCAACATTTTGTTATGTAATTCATTTTGTGATTTACATTTCTATAATTTATTCAATAAACCTAATAAATGTTGAGTAATGAATGAATTTAGTTTCATGAAGAAAAAATAGTACATGAATGATCTGTCATTGTACAAAACTGCTGAATTATGAATATGGTTTTTTGTGAGTATTTTCTTCCCTTCCTCCTTGTCCCATCCATATGTCCTTCCTTCTTACCCTAACCTCCTATGACCCGAGGATAGCACGTTGAGGGAAGAAATCGTCAGAAGTTTTAATATAATTATATTCAGGATGAGAGTTCTGTTCAACACAACATCATTGGTTAATTTAGTAATTTCTAGAATTCTGCCTAGACTTGAAAATACTTTCAATACTCATTGCTGAATATTGCTGTTCTCTGCATGTTTTTCTTCTGGGATTGAACTGGACAGGATTTTGGTTTTTTAACGCATTCCAGTGGGTATAAGTATATCGCCTAGTAAAGGTTCCCTTAATTGACCTGGTTTTAATAAAAAATGGTCCAGTACTCCTGTCACTCATTTTTCTCTTTTTTGAAACCACAGATTAATAACCTGGTGTTATCTCTATCACCAAGGTGAGAAATTCTGCCAACAGTGGTTTACAAAAGCAGCTTTGGGGTTGGATCTGGAGAGTGGCTAGGATTTTACCAAAACTAGATCTCTGTTTTTCTTCTAAATTACACATGGACAGTTTCAACAATTAAGTTACCAAATTCATATTTTATATTCTATTCACATATCAGGAAACATTTAGCCCAAAGTCTGTTTACATAAAACTTTCTTTTTGGATCTTTTCTTCTACTCTGAGGACACATGCCTGCCTTTCCCCAGTATGTTCTCCACTGCTGTCAGTACCTTGAGTATAGTGAGCCTTCAATAAAGAGTCAGTGAATGAATCCCTTTGTCATTGTGTCTCTATTATGTAGAGTGGAAATCTGTGCTGGAACAATAGCTAGTAGATGATCTGCACCAGGGAGGCCTGGGCTAGACTTCAAAAGCTGTTTCCCCATCCCGGCAAGGCAAAACATGTTCTTTTTGGGCTGGGAGGTCACAGCTCTATCCCCGTTCAAGACTGCACCTCCTTTTTTCTCTCTTCCTTCCCAGGAGCCGTGGAGTCCAAGTGTGACTGCCAAGAGGAATCCAGCAAAGCCAAAGAGCCCGAGCATGTAGCCCTGCCCGAAGCCTGCCACACGCATGGAAAACCCAGAGGAAATGAGTGAGGATCAATGGGAAGAAGGGAGCCAGCCAGGTGAGCAAGCTCATCAGTCTGGAGGCTAGCGCCACTGGAAGGAATCCCGGGCGGTTCTGTTTATTTGGCAAGTTCGGGCCATGACCTGAGCTTACACTAAATTACCTCAGAGCAAATTATTTTTTACCAAGCCATGTAAATGTTAGGTCAACTCCCTAGAGCTTTTGGGCTGAAGACAGATGACTACATCAAAGGCTGCTCTTGAGTTTCCAGGTGTGGCTGGGGGAATTGTCTGTCTTCCTTCAGGAAGACGTTTCTAACTCTTCCCTTTTCTCTACCTCAGATGAATTATTTTGTTTCATGCCAATTTAAGTGTTACCTAGAGACTTTTACATAGAACCAATTTATTATTTATTTATTTATTTTATTATTATTATTTTTTGAGACGGAGTCTCACTCTGTTCGCCCAGGCTGGAGTGCAGTGGCGTGATCTCGGCTCACCACAAGCTCCGCCTCCCGGGTTCACGCCATTCTCCTGCCTCAGGCTCTAGAGTAGCTGGGACTACAGGCGCCCGCCACCTAGCCCGGCTAATTTTTTTGTATTTTTAATAGAGATGGGGTTTCACCGTTTCACCGTGGTCTCGATCTCCTGACCTCGTGATCCGCCCGCCTCAGCCTCCCAAAGTGCTGGGATTACAGGCGTGAGCCACCGCCCCTGGCCACATAGAGCCAATTTAATTGAACATAGAGTCCTCTGGTTTTGGTATGAATGGGTGTGCCTGTGGGCGTGTCTTCATAAAAGGAGGCCAAGGCTGTGTTTCTTCTTTATAAATACAAATTTCACATCACAGTCTTGGGTGGTTATATTCTGAAGCATCCTCCTAGGTAAATTGAATCGGACTATAGTGGAATTTTTTTTTTTTTTTGGCAATGGGAAGCATTTTAATAATTAAATCACTGGTTGAAGGCTTGTGCAAAGTTTGGTGCTATATTGGGATTTACCAGGGTTCCATTGTGATTCTAAGTTCATTTTAAATTTCTGCCGCCTGCCTTCCTTTCCTTTTATGTTAAGTGTTATTACCTTGTGGAGAGAAGGTATTTTAATGATAACAGAATGTTACTTGAAAATGCTTCCAGCCAGGCATGGTGGCTCATGCCTGTAATCTCAGCACTGAGGCAGGAGGATGGCTTGAGCCCAGGTGTTTGAGAGCAGGCTGACCACCATGGTAAAACCCTATCTCTAGAAAAAATACAGAAATTCGCCAGGCATGGTGGCATGTACCTGTAGTCTCAGCTACTCAGGAGGCTAAGGTGAGAGAATTGCTTGAGCCCAGGGAGGTTGAGGCTGCAGTGAGCCGTGCTCAAAACAAAACAAACAGCTCCCATTCTGCCACTCCTAAAATCCATATTGTATATCAAAAAAGGAAGTTTGATACCTGAAATGACTCTCAGCAGGGCTTCTCAACCTCTGTTCCCTGGCATTTGGGGCTGTATCATTCAGTATTGTGGGAAGCTGTCCAGTGCATTGCAGAATATATGGTAGCACCCCTGGCCTCTACCCAGTAGATACCAGTAGTATAATTCCTCTCCCCAGCTGTGGCAACCAGAAATGTTCTGTGGGGGAGAAATTTGCCCCCAGTTGAAAACCATTGTTCTAGGGATTGATTCAACAAAGGAAAAGAAGGTAAAGAAAATAGTAAAGATGTCACGTATGGAGCTTTGTTTTTGTTGTTTGTTTGTTTATTTTGTAATATTACCCTGTGAATTTCCGAAGAAAGTAAATCCTAAGACAATGAAGTCTGCCACTAGAACTCCCATTTAGCCACCAATTCTCTCTCCGTTATTGACTGGAATTTAGTTTGGATTAATATAACAGTTACAACTCACTCACAACAAGTATGGACTTTGATGCTGTCATTATCAACTGAAGAACTCCCAGGTGTTTATATTAAACACGCAGAACTTCCTATGAAGTGGCCATTCTGATCACTGGGTGTTTTCACAGGGCTGGCTTATTGGGGGAAAAAGAGGGAGTGGTTGGAGAAAAAGACTCAAATAAGGCTAATGCAAGACTTTAATAACTGAATGTATGAGTTGAATGAAGAAACACGCCTACTCTACACTGCAATTCAGCAGTTTTTTGAATGGGAGGTCAGATACATGATTTAAATACAGGTTTCATTTAATGCAGTATCTTTTACGGTACTAAAAAAGGTCTGGGATCCTGCATTCTTCCTGTGTAGGATTGTAATTCATTCTCTCTGCTCTCACTCTCCTTCCAAATTCACTTCTACCTCTGTCATAGAATGTTTGAGCTGCCAGACAAGTAGGATCATGTCACCACTGTGACTTAACATGAAATGTCCTTGTGTCTTTATTTCAAATGTTCTGTTTTTCCTCTATTTTCTGCTCACATGAACATACACTCTTGCCAGGCACATTGGCTTTTCTTATTTCTCTTTCTGATTTTGCCTCCTTCCTGCCCCTGTATTCTTCCCTTTTCTCTGGCTATAGGAACTGTCAGGTGGCCTTGCTGGCATCAGCCTACCTCTTTTGAACTATGTTACCCAGGAACTTCCATTTATTATGCCTCGAGCACTCTCTTTCTTTAATACTATATCTCTCTGAGGGATAGTTAATGATCTTTGCAGCAAATGAAGGTGAACTGTAGCCACATTATTGTTAGAATACAGCCAACTATATGGAACAGATTGGGCTGAGCTTTGAACAGCTGGGGCTGGCAGAGTGAGTCTTGACTTCTCTCGGAAGAGTTCCAGAACTGCCAAATCATCAAACTTGAAGGGGAAAGAGGGACGAGAAAGGTTATAGGGATAGTGGTTCCTGCAGGTGCTTTTTTGCTTTTGTGATCTACCTTTTGTGAAATGTTTACTAGTTTGTGGATCTGGCAAAACATGGGCTAATTGAACCCAAGAGCTGCTGTCACTGCCACAGACTAGACCCGCTTAGTGGCCATGATGGTGTTTTATTGTTCATTTGCAGGTACTGAACATGGGATAAAGTGGATGCTTTTGTTGTGAAAGCTTGTGGCTCTTTTCAGGCAACTGAAACTAGGCGTAGGTTTGAGGATAATTTTGATTTGCAATGTGCTTGTAACTCTAATATAAATTTAATAATGGCTCCATTGGAACTTTTGGACTATCGTATGGCTTCCTGGTGGATATAATAAACGAGAAATAGGCGAGGTAGGACAGATACCATAAACTGGGGGACCAGAGAGCTTAATCGATCCTTCAAAAATGTAGTATTTGCTCATATAAGGAGTTGTGTGTGTGTATGCACATGCATGGGCTCATGTTTGTTTAAATGACTTGCTGCCAATATTTTTAAAATGTTTATATAAACATTTGGTCAATTTTTCCAAAGAAGCCAGAATCTGGCTTTGCTGGTCTCCCATGGTCATTATCAGCTGTGGCTGAATAACAAGTACTCCATACCTCTCCTGGGTGGGCGGGGCAGGGGCTTTCCGATTCACTAGCATTGACACCCCCTACCCCCACTGTTACTGTACAGATTGGCCTTTGCAAGAAAAGTTCAGGAGAGAAAAGAGACAAGCCTTGGGATTGGGAAATAATGGGTTAGAATCTCAGCTTCAGAGGCAGCTTTATCAATTGGGGAAATTATTAAACTTTCTGAGCCTTAGTTTCCTCCAGAGTAGAATGGGAATATACTCCGCACTCTCATGGTCGCTAGAAGGAATATTAAGCAAAACAGCATATTTAAAGTTTCTAAAGCAACTATGTACATACACAGGAGGATTGCTGTACACATTTGCTGTTACTGTCGTTTTCAGTTGCTGTGTATCATAGGTGAGTTGATACCAATCCTTTAGTGTCCTATTGAGCATGTTACAAAATTTGATAAACACTTCTGTTACTCAGAACAAAGGAGGAAACTTGTGCCTCGGCTTCCCATATCTCAGGTTTTGTTCTACAATATAAAATATATAGTTTTTCTATGGAAAAAAATCCAATAGAAACAGATTTCTTAAGGGTAGCACAATTTGAAGAGAGAAGAATCTTGTAATTTAGTTCATATTAGGTGGACTCTTAGTTTCCTTTTGACGGGGTCAAGGCTTTGTAGTTTTGCATCTACCTTCCTGAAGTTTCTGCCCCACACCCCACCCCAATCACATTCAAAATCAGACTGACAGTAATCCTGTATATGGAACATGTGCTGAATCCTCATGGAAGGAAAGGTAAAGAAGTGAAAGCCCTATAGAAATTAATAGATTTCCTTAGAGGTGGGCATGGAATGTAGCTTTTGTTAGGCTTGCAATGCTGCATTGAAGGTTTGTCAGCATTTTGTGCACACAGATTCTTTAAAAATTTTAAGGATGTTTCCCCTACAGTATTACATTCAGTTGGCATCATTTCTCTAATGTCTGATTTTTGACATCTATCAGAAAGTTTCAGTACGTCTTTTGATGCCACACCAGCTGGGGGCAGGGACTACCTGGTTATTATAGTCATGGTTCAGAAATATAGGTTCTCCCCCCCTATTTTTATACTTCCTGCATAGATGGGTTTCCTTTAGATGCGGATATTTCATTTAAATGCTGCATAGTCTTGTCTCAAAATGGTAAGGGATACCAGTATAGTATAGTAGTTTCTTCTTCTGCTTCTGAAAGTGACTGGGAAACTTGCATCTTTCAATAAAATGCTTTCTAGAAGAAGGCAAGGTGGCTAGAAAATGTTAAGGCAGCTCAGGGACCAGTAGGAGACAATAGATGTTAAAGGTAAAAAGTGACTTGTGATTAGATCAGTTATGGAGTCCAAAAATCCAACCAGGTTTGTAGGTAACCAGTTACGTTTCAAATGTGATCTTAAGCCCACCCTAAGTGAGTGAACCTCAACATGAGAGCAGAAGACCCTGAAAGGGAAGATGTGAGAAGATAAAATACTGTTTTCAGAGCCCTAGGTTTTTGTTTGTTTGTTTGTTTGTTTTTTGACATTTTTGTAAATGGAGGAATAGGACTACCTCTGGAACCTAAAATTGGGCTGAAATCCAGGTCCTGTTCTAGGTGATGGCTCAGGGTCCCTTCCCATTCCTTCCTCCATCTGCTCCTGCCCACTTGAGTGAAGGCGGTGAATAATAAAAGAGGAAAGAATGTAGATGAAAAGGAGAGGATGCAGAGAATGAAGATTCCCTGTCCTTTGTAAACCTTTTGTCCTGATCACCGAAAGTATTGTGGCATGTGTAAGTCTGAGAAAATATTTAGGTGAATCCCTTGAAATTGTCAGTATTTCAAGGGTTAAAAAAAGACAGTTTCACATAGCTCAAATGAAAGCAACAGTTACATTTTTGCTAGAACTTCTGTAGGTCCACCAACGAGATGTATGGAGTGGTTTTAAAAAAACCACACAAGGCTGGGCGCAGTGGCTCACGCCTGTAATCCCAGCACTTTAGGAGGCTGAGGCAGGTGGATCACCTGAGGTCAGGAGTTTGAGACCAGTGTGGCCAATGTGGGGAAACCCTGTCCCTACTAAAAATGCAAAAATTAGCTGGGTGTGGTGGCACACGCCTGTAATCCCAGCTACTCGGGAGGCTAAGGCAGGAGAATTGCTTGAACCCAGGAGATGGTGTTTGCAGTGACCTGAGATGGTACCACTGTACTCCAGCCTGGGCAACAGAGTGAGGCTCTGTCTCAAAAATAAATAAATAAATAAAAATTTTTAAAAACCCACACAAGTTTGGGCATCCGATTGGTGGATTTTTTCCTTTTGCATATGCTTTTCTAACACATGCAGATATTTTCTGCTTTGATTTTTCTTATAATCAGGCTTTCTTAATAAGAAAGTAAGTTTTCTGATATTGTAGTTATTGCCTCAAATCTCTTAGTAGAGGAGTAGAGGCAATGAAAAGGAGAGCCAAGTGTGGGGGTGACTGAAGACCATGGAGTGTTTTCAGATCACTCACCTGGGAACTTGTATGGCAGATTTCGGGTTCCAAAGATCCAAAATCAGGTGTTTTAACTTAACTGACTTGAATATTTACTTTGAAAATAAGAAATGAATATAAAAATGTTGAAAAGTTATACACATGGGCACGATTTATTGAAACCTGTTCTTAGTTAGGGTAGATTGAACCTTGTTGAAAGTTGTGAAATTTGCTCAAATAGTCATTGATTTCTCTTTTTTTCTAGATCAGAATGATTTCATGAATATTGTAATAGTTTGGGCAAAGAACAAATTTGCTTAGTCAGGAAACACGAAAAGCCTCTAAGAAGGCCTAGAGGTGGTAAAATCAGTGGTCCTCTGGTGGGCATGGTGTGTGTGCGTGTGTGTGTGCGCACGCACGCATGTGACTCATCTGGGGTTGGCTCGGAGTGAAAGAGACAGATGCTTCCTTCGCCTGCTTGTTTCCTGGTTCTCAAAGCCCCTATTTCATTGTTGTTTTATTTTAAGGTTCGATGCCTTCTCCATCCGTCAGTGAGGGTGTGGAGAGCCTGCAGGCGTGTGCCTACCTCTGTAACTTGCTATTCCTTGTGTAATGTCAAGTGGAAGTGCGAAGCACCACAAACTGCTCTGAGCAGAGCCCACTTCCCTTCACCCACGGAGAGCGTGAAGCAGTTACACCAACATCAATCAAGGAAAACCCACAGGCTGAGCTCACACGGTTGAAGCAGGTGCGTGAGCGAGTGCTCTGTGACAGGCACACGTGATTGAGGTGTACCTCGGCGTCTTGCCCACAGATGTCGGTTACGATGACTGTGTGGGGCTGTGCCCGCTCCCTGCAGAGCTGAGCCTGTCATGCTTGTGGGACACAGCGGGTGCAGCTCTTGGCAGCTCAGCGGGGTGAGCAGGTCAGATAGTTCTGAAGTAGGCTTCTTTGCTGTTTACTCACTTGTTTAATGGCGAGTAGAAGAATCTGGGAGAAATAGTGTTTTATTTTCTTTCTGTGGTGTCTTGCAGTGAGAATACCCCTGGGATCACTCCTTTAAAATAGTAAACAAGAGGCTGGGTGTGGTGGCTCAGGTCTATAATACCAGCTCTTTGAGAGGCTGAAGCAGGAAGATTGTTTGATCCCAGGAGTTCGAGATCAGCCTGGGCAACATAGGGAGACACCATCTCTAAAAGAAGTTTTTTTAAAATTCACTGTGTGTGATGGTATCCCCCTCTTCTCCCAGCTACTTGGAGGCAGAGATGGAAGGATCCTTTAAGCTTGGGAGGTCGAAAATGCAGTGAGCCATGGTTGTGCTACTGCACTCCAGCCTGGGCAACAGAGCGAGACTGTCTCAAAAATAAATAAATAAATGAAATAAGATAAAATAGTAAACAAGAAAACATTAGTATTAATTGATTTGCTAAGCCTAAGGGGGAAAATGTAAGGTCTTGAATCTCTGTATGTATGCATATGTGTGTATACGTTTCTATCAAAATATATCAAATATTTATGTATGCAGTGGTTTTAAAAAACCACACAAGGCTGGGCGCAGTGGCTCATGCCTGTAATCCTAGCACTTTAGGAGGCTGAGGCAGGCAGATCACCTGAGGTCAGGAGTTTGAGACCAGCCTAGCCAATGTGGAGAAACCCTGTCCCTACTAAAAATACAAAAATTAGCTGGGTGTGGTGGTACACACCTGTAATCCCAGCTACTCAGGAGGCTAAGGCAGGAGAATCGCCTGAAACCGGGAGGTGGAGTTTGCATATGTAGAGCAGATATATGTGTACACACATATATGTATATGTAAATATGTGTGTGCGTACATCAACACAGGCACCAATTTAAAGCAAAACTCAAGTGGGCCATGAGATAAAGAGAGAATGTGAATATCTAGACATTTTAAAGTATCTGCTGATAAGGTGAAGGGGCCAGTAAAAAAATGTGTATCTCATCCTGTTGAACCATCTTGATATGTATTGAGGTTTAGAAAATTTTCACAAAAGTTTTGAGCAATCTTAATTTTAAAAATACAGACGCAGTTAATACCAAGACTTCAATATAGATTGTGCTTTGTAAAAAGTGGCCAGTCTCTCAAGGCTTCTAGTACCTGCTATTGGTTATGAGTGTCTACTTTGAGCTGACACTTCAAAATATCATACATATTATTTACATTTAAATATGTGAAACAATCACCCTTTCTTTAAGCAATGTAAAGTAAAACAAGACATACTTTTAAACTGCTAAACTGATTCAGTTGGAGAATAATGGTAAAAACCAGTATTACTATGGGTAAGGAAAAAAACATGCTATTTTGGGGAAAATTTTTTATATACTCTCTGAAGATGATTTCATGATATGTAAAATCAGAAGCCACAAAATATTCTTACTCAGAGTTTCAGCAGTTCAGCTTCTAGGCAAATTTTTTCTCAGACAGTGATCAAATGTGTAAAAACTTTAGCTACAAGAATGCTTGATCGCAAACTTACTTTTTTTGCTAGAAATGTCTAAACAATATTACAGTGGTCAAATAAACTGTAGTAGAAATATGCAATAAAATGCCACTTGAGGCATTAAGCAGTGGTGTAGATTTCTCTAAGACCCTGTTTTTTAAAAAAACTAACAAGTCAGTGTTTCATGCATTCAGTATGTGCAGATATATTATAGTTTGTGAGATTTATACAAACCCAAAAGTTGTTACAGCTGTGTGATTAGAGAATAATTAAATGGCTGTATCTTGCCTATCTGTTATTTTAATTTTCTAACATTCAAGTGTATTACCTGCACATTAAATACAGAAAATGGCAAACATGGAAATAGCATTTTGGGAGTATACTCATAAGTTACCTAGAGATATTTGTGAAGACGAGGAAAGGAGAGGGGTTTCTTTCTTTTCTTTTCTTCTTTTTTTCCTAGACGATGACTTAGCAGAAAGTATTAAAGACTAGTGATTGATTAATTAGTTCCACAAATATTTGTGTGCCTCTACGTGCCGGGTACTGGACAAGACTCTGGTCTCGTTGCTATGTACTTTTCACATGAATTGCTGAATCCGTTTTGTTTGATATTCTGCATCAATGTAGCTTTACCAGTAGAGAGTCAGTAATATGAATATGAAAGTAATATGGGCATGTAAAAATTATGATGTCACAGCCTAGCATGGTGGCTCATGCCTGTAATCTCAGCACTTTGGAAGGCTGAGGCAGGTGGATCACCTGAGGTCAGGAGTTCCAAACCACTGTGACCAACATGGTGAAATCCTGTCTCTACTAAAAATACAAAAATTAGGTGGGTGTGGTGGTGGGCGCCTGTAATCCCAGCTACTCAGAAGGCTGAGGCAGGAGAATTGCTTGAACCCAGGAGGAGGAGGTTGCAATGAGCCGATATTGTGCCATTGCACTCCAGCCTGGGTGACAAGAGTGAAACTCCATCTCAAAAAAAAAAAAAATTATGATGTCAGACTGACATTTTACTTCATATTTTTACATATGTGTTTTATCTGCTTTATGCTGTTTCACATATTAAATGTGTGAAACTTTTTCTGTACTGTAGATAGTTGACACCATGAATTGTCTGGAAAGTCAAAAGCAAAAATTGAGAAGACTTGTTATCATTAATGAAAAACTTTAAGGGACATTAGAAAGCTTATTTGCAAATGCTTTGAAAAATCTGACTTTTCCATATTTTGTGAGGTTTTGGCTTTGATGCTTAATCTTGGTTTAATGTTCTGCAGGTGTCCTTTGGGAAGTTAGGACAGGATTTGCAGGGGTGGGGAGATTGAGTGTGATGACTTTAGTGTCCACTTGCCTGGAATGTTGAGACTCTGAGGCTATAAATAGGAGGTTTAGATTTGGGATGTCTGACAGGAAGAGGGTCAGGATTCAGGCTGATGTGGAGATGTTCACTGAGGAGTTTAAATGCTTCTCTGAGTCCCTAAGAATCTACCCAAAGGACAAGTCTTCTCCTGATGTCCAGTCTCTTTCTCATGAAAATGATCTTAGAAGTTTAATCCTTTAAATGACCTCTTAACATGACTTCTTCTGCTGGTGTGAGATTAGAAAAAAAATTCCAGCCTGAACCATCAAGGGCTCCAAAGTAAAGGGATTTTTTTGAGTTTTAAAACTCTGAAAACGTTATTCATAAGTTATAAAAATAGCAAAGATTCTTGAGAGGAAGGGTTTGTTTTGGGTCAGTGCCAATGTGTCAAAGTTGCTTTTCATGTGTGTGTTTGTGTGCTTGTCTGTGCCTTCTGCCTGCCTGTGTGGGGGGATGATTATGGATTCTTGAACTTCGTTCTTTCTTTCCTATTGATTGGTGAAGGGAAGAAGTTAAACTTTGGATTTGGCTCTATGTACATTGTCCATTGAATCAGGAGAGTTAGCCCATTGGTTATTCTATTGCCCTTTTGTTATGATTTTGTGAGAAAATTGTCATTTTCACTTCCCCCTTCTTCTCTCTATCCTATCCTCTTGTTAAAACAGACATGGTGCCTTTAATGAATTGCCTTGGGATAGTTTGAAGTGCAAAGGGAAGAAAAAGAGATTTAGCTCTTCCTGAGACAAGCCCTGAGTAGTAAAATCAATAATTCGAGAAATCACTTGCCCTTTAAAAAAAAAAAAAAAAGACTTGTAAATAGAACAAGATTGAGAAAAACATGTCTTTAGGCAGGCTAATCTAATCACACACAGAAGGCAGCCTGTTTTCTTACTTGTTGGATCACTTCCACTTTATATTCTCACAGGGAACAATATATTAAGTACAGTATTTAGAAATATTTGTTGAATCCTACTGTCTGATTCTGGCAAGTCCCAAGGAAAAAAAGAATATGTCTTGGACTGCGTGAGCCTTCCTGGGAGGATATTGGAGTTTTCCCAGAGAGGCTGGCTTCACACTGTGGGAAACACTGGTTTGGTAGATAACACTGTTAGAATTTATATTTCAGAGGGCATTTAGTTGTCTTCAGATTTCTAGAGCAGCCACAGCTGATCTTCTATGTCTCAGGATCTGAAGAAACTCAGAGTATAAGCTAGGCTTTCTTTATACTGATGTAGTCATTCTCTTTTGAAGGGCACTCTAACTTATAACCCACTGATCCTGTGTTATGGCAGGAGGCTGAGTTCACCAGCACCAAAATATCCAGTTAGTGTATCAGAAGAGAAAATGTGGGTATCACAAGTAAGAGGAGCTAAAAGATAGGACATTATAGGGTGAAAGGTCTATTGGCTGATTCCGCCTTCTCTTGGGGAATGTTAAAGTGTCAACATTTTGGCAAAATCCTAAGCTAATTTTGTTTAAATGTGATCATCACATAGCATTGACTGAGTAATTGAAATTTGTGATGGAAAATAAAACTGAAATATTTAGAAAGTATGTTATGGCCCCTTTGCTTAAGAGTATATGCTAAAATAAAAGTATATCGTTACGAGGAATGTAAGTGAAATACATTCTTTCAGTTTAATTTCCTCAGCATGTATCTGGCATTAAGTAGTTTTTATAAATCTTATGCAAGGGCCTATCCCACAGCCCTATTCCATTGATTGCTTAAATGCGAAGTAGGCATATCTGAAGGGTTCTTTTGCTCTGTATTATAACATTGATAAGTTACTTTTTGAACCTATAACTTTTCATCTCTAGAATGGAGATAAGAGAATCATCCTCAGAGTTTTTTTTTTTTTAAATAAACTTTTAATTTTTAAGTAGTTTTAGATTTACAGAAATGTAGCAAAAATAGGAAGAGTGTAGTC